TCAAGAATTCAAAAAGAAGCGCCAATAACTCACCTCATACTCAGCGGAGAGCGAATAGAGAACTTCATGTTGCACCAGCTGATAATCGCCATCGGCACCGCTGCTCGAACGTTTGCTGGGGGGCTGCGTATTGGCGTGCCCCCCAGACGTGGCGACTTTAGTGTGCGCCGTCTTGAGGCTGTTGTTATTCGTTGTCGTCGTCGCTGTCGCCGTCGCCGCCACCGCTGCCGAATTGGTGGATGCCGTTTGCGCTGAAGCAGATGCTGCTGACGCTGCTACTGCGGTTGTACTACTTATAACACCAACTCCGGCAGCTTCGTTACTAGTGCTTTGACAGCGAGTTGTAGAGCCTGAGGCAATGTACGAGGAGGACGATGTGTAGGAATCAAGGCAACCGCAATTACACTCTGAAATAAAGGAATGAAATGGAAATAAGCAATTAATAAGAATGTATTACTTTTCTTGCAGAAAAATTTACTTTGAAAAATAGAAATTAGCTGGGACTAGAAAATAGAAAATTTCTCTTAACTCGCAGATTGGACTGCCAGCACAGCCAGCTCTCTATGCGTACGAACGGCACAACAGCGGCTGCTGAAATGATGCTAGACGCGCGAGCATTTAGAGATGCAGCACTATTGCACTCAAGACTTACAGTCATACATTGCAAGTATATAGGAGATATGTATATAGTGGTGGAAGAAATAATAGAAACTTTTTATTTTGACCAGTTTTGGATATACATATTTCTCTTGTTTATTCGATGCTTCATATTTTTTTATAAAAATGTAGCGCGTTATACATATAACACGCACCATATAAAACTACACTCCAAACTTTGTACAAAAATTTTTAAAATTCAACAAATTTTACCAAAATCCCACAAACGATTTCAAACTTTTTATTCGGAATTTTTAGAAAAACTTTGGGTATGTAGTCTTATATTATAGCCCATTAAATTTTAGTACGTGAAAGTGCAAGTGGTAGAAAATCGCTTTAATTTTTAATAATTTTTTTCGCTGACGGTGTTGCGCATTCTCAAAATTACTTTTTGTATGGAAGAAAATGCCTAGTAGCGTCAGAAAAAAAAATTATCAAAAATCAACGCGATTTTCTAGCGCCTTGAAATTTGCACTTAACCAACTAAAATTTAATGGGCTATAATATAAAACTGCATACCAAAAATTTTTCAAAAAAATTTTATGCAAATCTTATAATTTTTATACAAAGTTGGATTTACATGGTGCATGTTATATAATGCAGTAGACTTTAAAAAAAAATAATAAACTTCAAATAAACAAAAGTAATATGGTCAAAAATGGTCAAAATAAAAAGTTTTTATTATTTCTCCCACCACTGTAGATATGTACATATGTATGTATGTATTTATGTAAGAAAATGTATACATATTTATATGCAAGTACGTCTTACTCCGATGCAAAATTAATTAAATTGTGCGAAATTCGAATAAAACAAAAAGTGTCGTCACATAATTTCCGGCAACAATTGAGGCAAGGAACAGCGACAAATGCAGGCGGACGGACAACAAGAACTGTAGATATGGAAAATAGTGGAAATTTTTGTATGCTAGCATTTTCACGATATAGTACATAGTACATACAGTGACTCACATAAGTATTTTACATTGCTTTTTTTTTGACGATATTCAAAATGTTTTTCATACTAAGTATTTTTCGTTCGTAAATACAAAATTGCAAACTATAGAGAAAAGTGCAGCAAATGTTCATCAAAATTTTAAACTTTTTACAAAAAAAAAACACTTAAATTAAAATTTAATTTTTTAGAGAAAACTAAGAAAATTTCAGCAAATTCTTATCAAAATAACCAACAGTTTAATAAGATTAGGGTGCTTAAAAATTCCTTTAACTTTTGATAATAGATAATTTCTTCCATAAAAAAATTCATTACGAAAATGCTAACTCGAATTTTTTTTAAAATCTGATTAAAAAGTTTAAAATTGCTGAATTTTGAGGAAAATTTGCTGAATTTTCTCTAAAACATGAAATTTTTATTTGCATGGTTGTTGTAGACTCGAGCTATATTCTTATATGCAGCTTCACGAAAAAAAAATTGTGTAAACAAAGTTTAAAATTTTAATGAAAATTTGCGGAAAGTTTGAAATTTTGATTTAAACGGTTTTTGTTGTAGACTGAAAAACATTTTGAACAACGTAAGAAAAAATCAAAGCAAAATACTTCTGTGAGTCACTGTATATAGCTGTACAAATAAATACAATACATGTAAGTAAAAACAAAGATATTTCAACTAATAAAAATTGCGACGATTCGTTGTAAGATATTGTTTATCTTCTTACAAATTACCATTACTGTTGCTGTGGTAAAATGCATGAAATGTATACGTGTATGTATATAAATTTGTCGTCTTGTAGAAGCTGATATGTAAATTTTAACCCAAAGCGGTTGATACTGCATTTATTTCTCTTCTCTGTTGACACAAAAGCGCCAATGCCCCTTTGTTGTACGATGCTGCTTTGTTTTATTTTGTATTGCGTTCATCCAATCACTCGACCAGCTTATCTGCGTCTGAACAGTTCTTAATGCAGATAAAACATAGTAAAGCATTTGAATAGATGCATACATACATACAACGTTTAATAGCTCAGAAATTTCTGCGCAAATATCCTCAAGGAATTTCCTAGAAACTTTAGATGGTAAATTTAAAAAATTATTTCTTCTCTGAAAGGAAGTTTTGACTTGAAGAGGACCATCAAAAAACGGGGAAAATTTAAGAAATTTGGGATATAGGGATGAAGGTAAATTTTGAATCCAGTGGAAGGAGGTGGCGAAAGAATTTTATCGCAACTCAACTCTAAGGCCTCGGCTGCTCAAGCCAAATCCTCGACTCGTGAGAGAATAGCAGTCTCATTTGGAGCCACATCCCCTAACTCTATCAAATCCATTTCTTGCTCACTTGTCGGCTTCCTCATTTCCCGGAATATCAGTTCCCGAAACTTAGTAGAAATTGACGTTTTTCTGTCGAAGAGATTGTAGGAATCTTCGGCCTTCTTAAATGGATATAGAGTTAGTTGTTATCGACACAAGGGCTAGCAGCTTCACTTTCCATAACGAAGGCCAGTTTAGATGGAGCTAAGTTGATAAGCTTTACTAGCTTCCTTGCACAATCTGGGAGTCTAAAGACCTCTTTCAAAGACAGTTTCTGATAGAAAAAGTCTTACATTATTCGTATGTCTAGTCTAGGAGCAATCTGTGAAGTTGGGCAGCTAATTATCATTTCGAATAAAAGAGATTCCCAGTCACATCTGTCGGTAAAGGAATTTCGACTTTAACCAAAATGGAAGCATAATAGCTCCTGTCAGTTGTTCACATCATACCAGACGCCATAATTATCACAGCGTTCTCTTTCTGTGGCGCTTTCCACGTAAGTATATATCTCTAGGCGTAAGGTAAAGATGTTATATCCAACGCCACATGGGTTGTCGACTGCATTAAACAAAACGAGGTACTTGCAGAGTCTCAATGCAAATTACGCTTTTCGCGGAATGCTGGTGCCACCCGTCTACAACCAATGATCGAATGTCCTAATCGCTTATCTCGACGAGTTAAAACTCATCGGATAAAACATGCGAAGCAATAAGTTGTGTCTCAAATATATAGAAAAATATATATATAGAAAAGTTTTGTCTAAAAGCCCAGTCGCCCTGCGTACTTACGACCACGCACTTTTCAGTGCGTAAAACACCACCAAACTTGGTAGAATCTGCTACCAATCTTTCAATGTGACATCCAACGGAATTATAAGTAAATCCAAGGTGGAATGGGCTATTAAGTCTTTCGAACCATGCAAACTTCCGGGGTTGGATTACAACGTGCGGCATTCATTAGCCTTCTTATTGGTAAAGTAGCTATAGTACGACGATATAACAAGCATAAGACACCAGATATGCGTCAAGAGCCACAACGTAAGACGACATTTTCTCGTCAACTCCACAAATAATTTGCAGTTGCGCCTACAAACCACGGACTGCCAGCTACATCGTATGCGGATGACTTAGCTCCAACTGTTATTGGCAAACACGCTAAAGTTTTATTTGGACTTGTACAAAATGCCTTAAACAATGTAGGAAGCTTGTTGGAGGAAAACGGAGCACACAACGAAATTTATTTGGCTGCCCAGTCATATGGATATTCTAGGTAACTGTGAAGTGGATGACCAACAAAAGATGGGATGCCGAGCCAACATGTGGGCCAGGGATGGAATTTAAAAATTTCAAAATGTGCCTAATGGTCTTCAAAAATAGTGACGAGAGAAGATGAAAGTGTCATAAAACTAAAATTTCTTTCTTGTAAGATCTTTTAAGAACAATATATTTTTATAGATAGTATTTTTAAAATACACTGAGGTTATATAATAATTATTGATTAACCAGATTATTACAGCAAATGACTTTGATGAAGGGTAGTTACGAATTCTGACAACCTTTTAATTCAGAATTTTTAGAAAGATTCTAAATTTACGATTTTACTAATTTTTTCGATGTAAAGTGTGTTCGAAAGATTTTTAAATGTATGAAAATATATCACACTGTCAGCAAAAAGAAAATTATCAAAAATTAACGAGATTTTGCAGAAACTTGCACTTTTATTTAACGGACTATAAAACTGCAAACTTAGAATCTTTCTAAAAGTTCTGAATTAAAAGTTTGTTACTGCGAAAACTTATTTTTCTGCTGGGCATGTACAATAGAATTCAGCGTTTTGTCAAGAGCTGCCACACACAATATTTCTCACGGCCCTTATTTTAATTTTCACTTTTTGTAATTTTTTAATCTATAATGTAGTATGTGATTTTTTGTTATATAGTATATTCGCATATTATGCTTAGTTTCTATAATTTATGATTGTGCCAAAACAGGATGAGTTGTGGCAAAAGTGCCACTGAAAAGAAAAGTGCCAAAAATTGCACTATTGTGCCTACTTTTCCATCACTGATGTGGGCTAATAGGGCTTTCGCACGGGCGACTTTTTCAGGCAACTTTTGGGCCCTGTCACACGGTTAGTAATTATCACGATATTTGGATCGCGATCCATATTGATGGATTGATGGATCGCGCACGAATGCTACATGTTCAATATTTATCGCGTCAGTATTTGCATAATTTTTGTGGTGACCGCTTATTATGACGCAAGAAAATATTTTTATTTTGGGCGTATAAATTACAGATAATGCATTCCACAATTATTTTAAAATTTCCAATGTTAACTAAAATTTTTTGAATTTCTTTTGAAAGGTTTTAAACACCTCTCGGCGAAGGCAGAGCGAATACGTTTTCGATGTTCGCATTATGAGAGTAAAAGATGTACTGACGAAATGTATGGATCGCGTTTTGAAAGTGCTACACGTTCAGTAT